GAGGACCGAGACAGATACAGAGACAGAGACAGAGACAGAGACAGAGACAGAGACAGAGACAGAGACAGAGACAGAGACAGAGACAGAGACAGAGACAGAGACAGAGACAGAGACAGAGACAGAGACAGAGACAGAGACAGAGACAGAGACGGGCACGGGCACGGGCACGGGCACGGGGACAGGGACAGGGACAGGGACAGGGACAGGGAGAGAGGGAGATATATCTATATCTATATATATATATATATATATATATATATATATATATATATATATATATATATATATACATACATACATACATATATATATATATATATATATATATATATATATATCGATAGATTGATGGACAGGTAGACAGTATAAGTTATAATACAGTATAGTATAAAGAATATGACATGCCATTTTGATATACTATAAGATAGATGAAAAGGGAATGCACATTAGCGATAGGTTGACAGATAGATAGGTAAATGCATCGTGGCTATATTATAGAGATAGATAGATAGATAGATAGATAGATAGATAGATAGATAGATAGATAGATAGATAGATAGATAGATAGATAGATAGATAGATAGATAGATAGATAGATAGAGAGAGAGAGAGAGAGAGAGAGAGAGAGAGAGAGAGAGAGAGAGAGAGAGAGAGAGAGAGAGAGAGAGAGAGAGAGAGAGAGAGAGAGAGAGATATCTCTCTCTCTCTCTCTCTCTCTCTCTCTCTCTCTTTCTCTTTCTCTCTCTCCCTATATATGAGTGTGTGCATGTGATTTAGTCTATATAGTGATTTCTGGGCCGATGTGCGACTGAAATGAAAGACTGACCATTTAACCACACAGTTTTGTGACGTTTATTACCACTGCGTCGGTGGCTATTGACGCTCAGGCAGGGAAGCAATGTTTTTATTTTTTAAAGCACACGACGCAAGACATTGCTCCAGAGGATCCTCTCGGTAAACGCGTCTTCATCCACGACCAAGCATAAATGACGTGAGCCGCGGCGCTTGTTCGTTCGATCCGTTTTCATCGACACGCTAAGTCGAATTTATAATTTACAAGATTGTCGTGGATGCGTGCATTTTGCACATGTGTAATACGTCGTTACACCTGCGGAGATCATGGGGCTGCGGAAGAGAGCTCACTTAACCAGATAATTCAAAACCACTCGTCTGGGATTAGGTACAGAAAAGACCGGGATTTTGGTGGCAAGCCATTTCAATGGAGAGAATCACAGCATTAATTATGTTAAGGTTTGTGGCTGAGAAAGGTGTGGACTAACTGGGTTTCGTATAACGAGTGATGGAGCTAAGATGGATTCTTTTGTTTATCACGGGTTAGCGCACCTTTCATTGAAGTGTTACGGTTTCCACTACTGGTTCGAAGAACGACACTATGAAAAGGACGTATGCGAAAGGGAGCCTGTTTATTGGTGGACGCCTCGGACGGACAGTGGACACGTGGGCACGCCTTTAGGCGTCTCTGCGTCTCGGGTCCAACTGTCAGCCGGCCGACGACACGTCACCTACCAGGCAGGGCTTAAGACGAAGACTGCGTAGGTAGCGTGGTCTCCACAGGTGTTGTGGCGTACAACGACACAGCACATCTTAGGCACACGCAAGCACTGCCATCTAGTGCGTAAAAATGTCACTAGATATGTTGAAAACAAGCTCAGCGAATGAAGGGGCGAGTTACGTCAGTTTTGATCACTTGCGGACGAAGATGTGTGTACCGAGAGGGTCTTTTGGGGCAACGTTACACGCCATGTTGTATAAACATGGTCTTACTTCCCTGTCTAAGTGTTTTCAACCGCTAATGCAGTGCCAATGAACATTATAAGCCTGTTCGGAAAAGTGTTCATTTTTCTTTTTACATTCATAGCTCCGCAGTTTTGAAGTTTTAAGTTATATATATATATATATATATAGTATATGTTTAATTTATATAGTGATGTAGCATGTATAAATATATATATATATATATATATATATATATATATATATATATATATATATATATATATATATATATATATATATATATATATCGCACATAGTCGATGGTTTGACTGAAGGAAAAAACTATATTTTGTGAAATCAGTTTGGTATGCCTCAGTTAAACACGTTAAGTTAAGCACCCTTCAATACACATGTAGACGTAAAGAACATTTCCACACTTAGGAACACCCACTACTAGCTATCTCCAAAGTTATATATATAGTTATATATATAGTAAAGCAAGAATGAAGCTGTGTTTTGAGTGCTGGGGCATGAGCAGATAAGAACGGCTTTTAATACCACTAGTAGTCCCTTGTGTATTGTGTTTTGATGATGGTGGCGTTTTCGGTGAGATGCTTGCGTGTCATTTTTTGTAGGACTGTCATGTCATCGTGTCTTCATTGACTGTGCCGTCGAAATGTGTAGACGCGTCAGCAGGCTGGTGCAATAATTACGTACAATAACCAGGTCCAGAATTTCTCCTCTCTTCGGTGCGTACGGAACGGGATTTGTCGGTTGGAATAGAATGCGGACAGAGTAAACGGAATTGAACCCAGACCAGTCTTGAGTGCCTTGCAATGAGATGATTGCATCCGGCGCATTGTTGGAAGTAAGCAAGCCCGACTGGTCTCCTCCCCAGCCCTGGTCAGCTCCGACCTGTTTCCGTGATGCCCCAATACCGGCCGAGCCGACAAGACTGAACTGTCCCTAACCAAAGAAGGGACCGTTACGGTACGGACCAGCAACATCAGCGATGAGACGTCCAGAACTGGTTATGAGAACAGGTTCGCCAAGCTCGATGTGTGAGGTTAAGGACGTGGTCCGCGCACCTGAATGGGTTCTAGCGCTCGTGTCGTCGCCAGTTTCGTCGTCATCCACAGCCACGTCAACCTTGTCGCTGTGGGGCTGGCCAGACGCGTTTCGCTCTCGAACCCGCCTGATTGGTCCCTGGCTTTCACCGGCGAGCGGCTGACGGTGATGCGCGGGGACGGAGGCAGGGCGCGCTCAGATGGCGTCACTGATTACGTCACCGGCGGATGCCGTCGCCGACCCCGGCGGGCTCGTGCCTCCACCTCCACACGAGTTGCTGACTCATAGGAGCCCTGGCACGGGCGGCAGCGGCAGCCGTCCCGGTCACAGCCGCAGCGGTCGACGTCCAACCGCGCCGTAACAGGCGCAAACCGCGCAGAAACACGGCCACCCGATCTTCCGATCACAATGTCGGCGGCGGCGGCACCAGGCCGCATGACTCTCCGACGCTGACGGCCGGCGCCGGCGCGCGCGTCGCGCCGCCTGACGGCCGGCGGCGGCCGCGCCGGCCCGATAGCGCGCCGCCGCCGCCGGCCGGTCAGTTGCGGCCGCTCCGCCGCCGGGGGGAGTGTGGCCGCGGACGGCGCAGGTGAGCGATGGAGGTGACACGTAGGCCGAAGCTACCGCTGGGCAAGCGACTGAGCGGCTCGCTGGACTCGATCCTGACGCTGGGAGCGGTGAACTTCAGCATGTGCCTCACCACCAGCACCGCCTGCACGATGAGGCTCGGACGCAGCTCGAACTCCCTGGCAACGGTACTTGTCTCCGCTCTGTCTATTTGCCGGGGTTTGAGCGTGCCATCTCGAGCTCGTGTGCATGATTTACGTAGCATGACTGCTGTTTTTTCATCGAGGTCGTCTGGTTCCTGGTGCACGCATCGGAGTCATTCCGTGTCCAGTTGGTGATTGGTTTGACACCTGAATTCATGGGGTGTTCAATGGCTTTAAAGCCGGAGCCCTCAACGAGTCGTGGGCTTTTTGTTCTTTTATGCGCATCTTAAACCTCTTCCGTGTCCTTTGTGTCACTAGCCGGACTAACACCAACTCTCTTAGCCACCACAGTATCTCGCTTCATGGTTGCGGACCCAACCCGAATCCGTGCCATTCTGAGCTCGTGTCTGACGTGGATACACCCCTAGGTCAAATAGCGACCTGCACCTCCAAACCGAACGCCATCGCCTCCGTGGAGTCGTTCGCGCGCCATGTTGATGCTAGTCGGCTATATTCTGGTCTCTGCCGATACCGCTGCTGCTGCGGTCAGCACTGAGAAGTGCGCTTCCCCAGCGGCTGGTCGGCGGGCGTCGGGCCGCCGCTGCCGCCGAAGGTCACATTCGCGCGTGCGCCGGTGCGCCGGCCGATGCCGGTGCCGACCACCGGCAGGCCTGGCTGCTGCGCGACCGTCCCCAGCCGGTCCCAGTGTTTGTCCTTCATCGTTTATGGACGGAAGCGACTGCCGCTGGACGGCGGCTGACCCGCTCTTCAGGCTGGTGGCTGAACGGTCCGTGGTACCGGCCGGCCGGTCTGATGCGCGAGCTCGCCGTCCCTGTGCCCTCTGCAGAGCCGTAGCGGGCGGCAGCGCCACAGTTCTGCCGGCCCACAGCCCTATCTGAGGCCCAGGCCCGAGATGGGGCTGTGTCCCACCTCGAGGCACAGCCCGTCGGCGGCCTGGCTGCTCCTGTCGGAGAGCGTCTCTCCTTGGGCGGCACGCGAAACCTAGCCACAGCTGTCTGTCACACCTGGTGCCGTATACCTGTCACACCAGGAGCCGCCGACTTTGCCTCCGATTCAATCTGGTCAGGTCCGCATTGTGTGCCGCGGCAGGTGACAGGAAACTGGGCGCGCAGTTGGAGCCGTGGGAAGCCGGCCCTGCTCCGCACCTGGGAGCGTTCCAGCCGCGGCCCGGTCGCACCCTCTGCAGCCGCCGCCGCCTGAGACGGCGGCTGCGCTGAAGCGGTCATGGGCCGCCTGGGACGGCGGCTGCGCTGAAGCGGCCATGGGCCGCCTGGGACGGCGGCTGCGCTGAAGCGGCCATGGGCCGCCGGTGACGGCGGCTGCGCTGAAGCGGCCATGGGCCGCCGGTGACGGCGCGGCCCGGCTCAGTTGTACGGCCGTGATAGGTCCGGTATCGCGCTGTCTGTGGCACTCTCTGCCCCACACGCCGATAGTGCCCCGGCTGCGCTTATTCATAACAGCTGGTGGCTATAGGACGACGGCGACTCAATACGGGCTCGTCGGAGTGGAGGTGCGGGGCGCTCGGTCCCGGTCATGCTCGCGAGTCATCGATCGTGGCTTGGCGCATGGGATGCTGATCTTGTTGATCTACGGTGACCCACGACATGAGATGCTAGCCCGTACGCTGTGCCTTGTGCCTTGCCGCGGAGAGCGGCGGTTTTCCTACCGTGTGTGCCGCACCGCTCTGGCCTACCGTCCGTGACCGGGCGGTCAGATGTGGTCCTGTATGATGCGGTCTCGAGATGAACGCTAATCTGTGCTCTGCGAGCGATCGTGGCACAATGCGTGTAAGTACAGCGTGGTGCGCCAGGTGGAACTGGGCGGACGCCAAATCCAGGCCAGACGGACATGGCGCCGGACGTGAGCGTAATCGGCGGCGGCGGCGCGGCCGGCCACCTACCTCTCTGGCCGCACGTGTCGTGGCATGCCACGGCGCCGTGTCACCGCGCAGGTATGCCAGGAATGTCTGGCGATGTCGCTCTGGCCGACGATGGCCTGACCTGGTGTGAGGGTGCCTCGGCGATGATGTCAGTGGCGAGAAGTCCCGTCTTATCGCGCCGCGGCCGGACAGCGGGCGGATAGCGATAGCCGCCGTGCTGGGCGCTCCTATCAGTCTGCCGCCAACCTGCTGCGGTGCACCATCAGCGGTGAGGGGAGCGAGGTTGAGTCAGGCAGGCTTGGCGTGGTAAATCGGGACGAAGATCTGCGGAAACCCCGTTCACCAACAAACACGACATGCAGGCCGGCCGGAAGGGAGGGCGCGGGCGCCATTGTGCCTGTTCCGCTGCAGCTCTTGCGAGTCTCTGCCAGCTGGGTTGCTAAGTCCTGGTGGGGATCACAAAGATTCACTCACTCACAGCACCACCTGGAGCCACACACGCGAGGTACCGCAGCGCCAGCGACGCCGGCCACGCCGCCGAAGGGCAAAATGCACGCCTGTGGGGTCACTGAGCGCCCGCCGAGGCCACGCGGCCGCCGCCGGCGCCGATTTCCCGGCCGTGTTTTCCCGTGACAGGTCGGTTTGTTTGCACGTCGCCCGGCAGAGGGACGCGGCGACGGGGCATGTCACAGCGCACGTCACCCGGGTCCGGCGGATGCCGGGAGCGCCGGCCCGCCATGGTGGCGGGGCGCGCCGGCGTCCCATGCAGTCCCTGCTGAGTCACGAGTCAAGCCGATAAAGCCGTTCCGGGCAGACTTTGTCCTCGGACAGCGTCTGCAGTTGAGGTGTTCCCGCTGGCCGGTTGCCTGTCGTGAGGGAACGATTTATGATAAGGCAGGAAGGGTGTCATTCCTATCTGCGCATCAACATCAAGAGGTGATGTAGGTCATGATGTTGGCCGTGAATGCGTGCAAACGGAGCAGTTCGATTTGTGTCAACTTGCTGGCCTGCGGGAAAGGTAAGGTGGACATCATAATATATGATCATGTCATCTCTCAGTATTTGCTTTTGTTAAAAGTTCTTCTACAATTTCGCGATGCCACGGCAAGTGAAAGTTCAGCGATGCAGCGCCCGCTGCCATCGTTGAGCACGCCTTAGCCACGCTTTGCAGCTGACTGCCAGATGCGTTGTGTGACGTGTGACGATAGCCTCTCCCGCACAGCAGGTGACCGACCCGAGCGGGGAGCCGGAAATCACCCTTCCAGACTCGCCACCCAACGGCCTGACCACCACCGACTCCAAGATGGGGCCTCTCGCCAAGTTCGCCAGCCTCTCCCAGGCGTCTGACGCGCTCGGCGGAAATTCGCAGGTCAGTGGACGGAGCACGACAGATGGCGAGGGTGCCGTGCAGAACTCAGGTCCAGGGTGCCCTTCTTAGGTAAGGTAAGGTGCCGTGCAGAACTCAGGTCCAGGGTGCCGTTCTGAGGTAAGGTCCAGGGTGTCGTGCAGAACTCAGGTCCAGGGTGCCGTTCTGAGGTAAGGTACAGGGTGCCGTGCAGAACTCAGGTCCAGGGTGCCGTTCTGAGGTAAGGTCCAGGGTGCCGTGCAGAACTCAGGTCCAGGGTGCCGTTCTGAGGTAAGGTCCAGGGTGTCGTTCAGAGCTCAGGTCCAGGGTGCCGTTCAGAGGTCAGGTCCAAGGTGCAAACAATGCGCAACATGCCAACATCACCAGCAAGGTCGCCGAGCCTATTTAACCGTGGTGCCCCTGCTTCGCTAGAAGTTTCAACACGCTCCCAGTGCCAACAACTGCAGCCTGCCCCAGTGATACCATCGGCGACAGCTCACCGGTGTCCGCGCACTCGGCGAACCCCGGGACGAGGGTGGGCGGACCCCTGCACGGCGCTGTGCCGGTCGCGGCCTGCTGGGTTGAGCGGCCGCCCGCACCCAGCGCCGGCGGCCGGGCGCAGGGCGCCACCTGTCCGCGTTCTTACCTGGTTCTGATTCAGCGCTAGTTCCGGTGGGAAGCGGCTCTCGGTTTTCCGATGCGAGTGGGGTATGCCATGTGGTGTATCCGCGTCACAAACACTCACGTGGCAGTGCCCCAGTGCTCTTGCGCACAGGAAGCGGTGGTTCGGCCGTTGTTAACAGCTGCGAGTCGCCTGGCGTGCGTGGTTTTTGCATGACTGCGAAAGGCTCCTGTGAAAATCTCTCTTTAAGTTACCTGTTCGCATGTTAACATCGCATATTAAGATCTTGCCAGTTAGTCATTATTTTCGTGTGCGTTAATCCTATGCTAGAACAAAGCGCCAGGTAAGAAAAGTACGACCGGAGCCGTGGGCCCTGATCCCATCCGTCTAGATGGCTCAATTGGTCAGAGCGCCTGCCTTCCGATCCAGCTACCCGTGGCGGGGTGGGTCAGAGCCGCTTTAGCGCCTGCCTTTCCATCCAGCTGCCCGTGGCGGGGTGGGTCAGAGCCGCTCAAGGCCCTCGCTATTTGCTCTTGACTGAGATGGCCCGCGTCCGGTGGTAGCGGCCGCGCTAGGTGACGTCAGCGCGCAGGGCGGATCGCGCCGAGCCTTGTGGCACGTGAAACGTTATTTCGTCGTCAAATCGTGTCATTGACCTGGCATTGCACGGTCGGACGGTCGAGGGCAGGGTTCGCGCAGCAAGTATGCCTAATCGTGGCCTGCCATCCCAGAAATCGATCCATTCAAAAAGTTTGCACTAAATCCCCCAAAAACGACCAATGAGCTCTTTAATATCTCGAACACCTGTGGAATCAGGCTGCTTCAGTACTTTGGCGCATCGCCTCCAAGACTTCAGAGGCTCTTGTGATTTCCCTACTGGCCATGCCCGCTGCGTCTTTGCCCCGGCTATCGTCAGCAATGGCACAACATCCCGTGACCCCTAACGCCGCTTCTCTCCGCAGATGACGTCCAACACGACCAACACAGCGACGCGGATGGCCAAGCGGTCACAGGTGCTGTCGAGCCGCGCCACGGCCAGCTCGGCGTCCGAGCTGACGGCCTCGCTTGGCGGCCAGATCAGCTCGGCGCTCAATAGCGCCCAGAGCGAGCAGCAGAGCTTCGGACGAAAGGTCACGCAGGCGCAGGTCGGCATGACCAACGGCCTGTCGGCGGATGTTGCGCGCTTGGCCAACTCCTCCTCCTCCGCCTCCAAGGCAGCGGGCACACAGGCGGGCGCGGCCTCTGCCGGCGTGCTGGAGGCACAGGCGCAGGCGGTTAAGGCGCTGCAGACGAAGAACTCTGTTCCGTCTCTGGCATCGACGACAGACGCGCGCCAGTTGGCAGAGAGCTTCGACTCGCTCAAGAAGCTCTCGATGGACCGCATGCCCGACTCGCTGTCCATGGAGAACCTGGACGACCGTGACCTACTCAACATCAATCTGGGCGGCGGCGGCGACGGTGCTGGCCGCGACCCTAACGTCAAGGTGTTTGAACAGAAGCAGTCGTACTCAACATCCAACAAGAAGCTTGTGACCAACGACTTCAGCACAGAAGAGGCCACCGCCAATCGCGAGGAGATGACTCGCCTGGAGGAGGGCGATAACTCCTACCGCGAGAACAAGGCCAGCTCGGACATGCGCGCCCGGCTCGAGCTGAACGGCGTCACGGCCGAGAAAGGCCTGTCGACCCGCCAGGTGAGTGGCCGGCCGGGCAGCTCCCGCAGGCCGCCGCGGACTGTTGGTGCGCCGTCCCCCCCCCCCCCCCCCCCCCGATCTGGTCCCAGTCCGGTAGCTATGTGTGTCTGGCGTTAGTCCTGACGCTGGTACTCCCATCCCGGGTCTGGTGTTGATGCCGCTGACCGCGTTGCGTGTTAATGTAGTTGCCGTTCTGCCAGTGTTAATGTAGTTGCCGTTCTGCCAGTGTTAATGTAGTTGCCGTTCTGCCAGTGTTAATGTAGTTGCCGTTCTACCAGTGGGCCGGGAAAGGCATGTCATTGGCTCATGGTATGTGTATGAGATTGATCCGTTTCATGGCTGGATTTCACATGGAGCTGTTCATGGCTCTCAGAAGCGCGCGTGGCGTGGACCCCGTGTGAACTACCGGACGGAACTTGAGCGCGAGCGGGCCGCGTAGACATTCGCCTGACATTTGTTTTTGGAAGGCCTTCCACAACGATGACATCATGAGCTCGTCGGAATACAGCCAGTTTTGCCGATGAGATACCAAGCATCGCCCGAACGGCAGGCCTGGTGTGAGCACTGCAAGTGACGTAATGACGAGGCCACGGTCTGTCCGGCGAGCCGCCTTCCTTCCGCCGCGAGCGATTCCGATAACGAACCGTAGTCACGAGTAATCGGAACCAGGGTCTCGCAGATGTCGGTTACCAACCGCCTGGTACGATCATTGGGATGTACTTAGGGGTCTACTAATGAATGAGGCTCGCGCCTGCACGCTGTTGCCAAGTGACGGCAATGAATTGAGCTATTGCTGTACGACTGAAGGTCATTTAGTTGTATTTGGTATCAATGATGTAGGCTATTGAAGCCTTGAACAGGTGAAAATCGCAGGCGACATCGCTACCGGACCAAGCTCTGCCCCAACGCCGTTTCATATGCCATCTTAAGCGCAATTGCGACTGCGGTCGTCGCCGTCGGTAGCAGTGCCGGGACGCGGCGTTGATAAGGACACAGCGGTCACCGGGGTGAGCAGAGATTGTCCACTGTTCCAGGCTATAGCGAAGTTTTCGGTGGCATTTTCTCGCAAACCAAACGACTGCTCAGGAAGAATTTGCTCACAGCTATCTGCATCCGTTAATATCCCATGTGCCGCAATAGGCGGTCAACCTGTAGCCGTTTCCAGTGGTGGTCACGGCTGGTGCCTGCCGCGCTGCTGCTGGCCGTTGTCAGTGCGGGGACATGCCGCGCCAGGCATACCCGGCGAACGTGGGTCCATAACTGGGCGCCGTCTCCCCGTCGCGTACGCGAAATGTGAACTAAAATTGTCTGATGCCGATAATATAGCGACATTGTCAGTTGCTAACGGTAAGGCATATATTTGAACCATAAATGATCATATCTGAGTATGACAAAAAAGATGCTCATAATTGAACAATCTCTCTTGGTCGTGCAAGCAGCCTCAAGTTTTGCAAGTTTCCGAATTGTAAACCAAAGAAAACATGAACAGTGTTTTCTTGCAGCATTGTATTCCATCATGGCTATTCGGAAGCTCACAAGGATCAGTGCCCAGTACGCAGCGACAACGGCTCCGCAGTCCGCAGGGGCAGCCAGTGGCCTCGCGTTGGTGTTGTTGGGATCGTGAATCGATCGGGCACGTTCGAGGCCGTCTGGTGCCGTCGACATGAATCCTTCAAGCTCATTAACGCTTGCTTGTGGGGCTGGGTGCTGTCGACTTCCAATCGACCAGTTCGAACAGGCAGACCTGTGCTACTCAGAACGAATGTGTTACTAGAGGCGCCGCTACCATTTTTTTGGAGGGTGGGTAGGCCAGTGCTTACAATAAGCCACCGCTGTAAAGCGGGCCCCTTAGACTGGGAAGAAGAACAGAGCCCTCCCTTGATCTAGAACAGGCGCCATAAATATGTGGACTGGTAAGGCAGACATACTTTATGGTATTATAGACGTATTGAACGGTGTAACGGACGTATTGGATGATGTGACAAGCGCATTGGATGGTATTACAGACGTAATGGTTGGTATTACAAACGTATTGGATGATATTGCAGGTGTATTGGATGGCGCTGCAGAAGCACTGAACGATATTTCAGACACATAACATGACAGTATTTACGCCATTGACGCTACACAGACTGTTGGATGGTATCACAGGCTATTGAATGATATTACAGACGCATTGGGTAGTAACACAGACTTATTGGATGATATTATGAAGGATGATATTATAGACGTATTGGAGGGTATTACTAACGTACTGAATTTTCGACTTCCAATTTGTAGCGGTTCATACTAGGAAGCGACGCGGACGCTGGTGTTACTCTTAAATGTGAACTCTGGCCCCTGCTTGCAAGTGTTTGGCATTTTATTCCAAAACGTTGGCCCCGCTCTGCTTTGTGCTTTAGAGATGCTACAAATGGTTTGTGACCGTGTGAGTGCATGACAAATGACCGTGACAGTGTGTCCAAGTAGCCCCCACCCAAAAAAATGAAGGCTAGCTGCATCCTTGCCTGTGTTACCAGGGAACAGACAACGATTAAATTGCATTGGAAGCTTTACTTATCTTGTGCGGCTTCCGTTACTGTGGAGGCTTGTGATCAACTCCGCATATGATTATTGTCGGTGTGTCGGTAATGGCCGACACTTCTCACCTTACCTCGGGTACCCACCTGGCAAGAGGCTCACGCTTCTCTCGTTCGTGACGGAACTCTCCCTTTGGAAATACATGGGACAGCCCCTGAGTCAGAGAAGCGGCCTTCCGTTTCGCAGCGGATGGAAATCACTCAACCCATCTGTATGACTAATCGGTCCATAGCCTTTGGTTCGTAAAGCCTCTGGGCTTCCTGAGTTGTAGAGAGAACGTACTCCTCTGAAGTACGCCCCACCACTCCGCCTGATGACATGGCAGTCGCCCCCCCCCCCCCCCCCCCCCCTCCTGCCCTCACCCCACTTACTCAGTGGGGCTGCTCCTTTGCACTGCCAGCCGGATACGGGCTACAGCCGTACTCCTCCAGTGTTGGGACGAAGTACATCACTCTCGCCTGGACCTTGGTTACATGAAGGGAGTGATGAGGTGGTGAGTGTTACGCGCTTTCTGCCAAACCTCCTCGTCCCTAATTATTTGCACACCAGACGCTCACAAGAATTCTCAAGTTAGGATCGTTTACGCCGCGCCTGCATGTGGGAATTGTAGCTCTCCGGTTCCTCCTAATTCTGGGGCTCATGGCACTGAATGTTCTCGGAAGTAAACACGCATTCCACAAATATTTCTATGTTCTATTTCTCCATGCGGTGAAGTAATGCGCATGGCTGTGACGTGCCAGCATTCGGCTACGACTCAGTCCCATCCGCCCCCAGGCTTGATCTGCTCGGCTGCAGAGCACCACTTCTCGTCCCGCGCAGCGTTCGTGACTTTGCACTCACCTAGACTGCATGACTTCAATGAACTCAGTGCGGTCAGCGGGAGCTCTTTTGTCATTTCGAGCTTTATCGCATACCGCGCCAGTGTCCAGCGCTCACGCGCTCACCGCGGCGCGACTCTGGCAGCAACACGTGATTGGCTGCCCAGCCCGCAACGCTCAGCTGACGCGCGGCAGCTGGGCAGCCCGACTTCCGCGGATATTGTTTGTGGTCCGCTGATCGGTGCCCCGCCAGCTTCGGCTATCAACGCCGACCTTACAGCCAGCTGCACGCGGCTATCAGCGCCGACCTCACAACCAGCTGCACACGCCCACGCGGCGTGTCTCCTGAAGGGTTGACCCCCACGGCTATTGTTTGTGGTCCGCTGATCGGTGTCCCGCCAGCTTCGGCTATCAGCGTTGACCTCGCAACCAGATGCACACGCCCACGCGGCGTGGCGCCTGAAGGGTTGAGTCCCACGGGTATGGCGTTATGGAGTCTGCAGCAGCCGTTTCCAGTACGGAACTGCTTCACGCGGCCCAACATCCGGGGCTAAAAATGTGGGCATGAAGTCATCGTCTGAGGATTTCGGAGCTCATCGTGGGGAGGGGATCGCAGCTCTTTATGAATGATCTTCCAGTGAGTGTACCGTATGGTTCGCGGAATCAGGGGCTGGGGGATAAATGAATGGATCATTGTAGCGACAGCAGCTTTTAAGGTTTGCTGGAGCTGGGGTCGTCATCCCCACAAACATTCGTTTTTTTCTTTATCGTTTGGACATTGTAGGAACGTTCATCATGCGTAACCAGCTCTATTGCTGGAGGCGTGGGCACTGGGCAGTTAGTGACGAACACTGTGTCGGGCTCTAGCGACGTTTGTGTGCGCCGAGAGATCGTCAGTGTTACCGGGGCGTGGCGGCGTATCGGTGCAACCAACAACTCGCTGTCATCGGAATCGATTCGACCCACTGCGGTCTTATAGCTGTAGGTTTGTTGCGATTTCTCTCTCTCCCTTGTCGTTTTTTTTTTTTGCAGTTCCATTTAATTTACCCATCGCAGAACCTTACCTGTACCGTCTGTCCAGCGTCGCGTTTCTTTGCTCTCGTCTCGTTGTAGAGCAACCTTCCTGCGTCTCTCCGCAGCAGCATCACCAAGCGCTGCACGTTCGCGGGTGAGCGACCTGGACGTGGGCCGCTCTCGGACGCGGCACTCGACACCAGCGCGCTGTTGGGCGAGCTGTGTGCGCTAATCGTGTGCAGCTGTCCGATAAATATTGACACCTCCGCACCAAGCTCCATGATCACAAGGCGGAGTGGCGGCCTTGTCGTGCGAGCTGACTGTGGCCGGAGCTCCATGATCAGCGCGGAGTGGCGGCCTTGTCGTGCGAGCTGACTGTGGCCGGAGCTCCATGATCACAAGGCGGAGTGGCGGCCTTGTCGTGCGAGCTGACTGTGGCCGGAGCTCCATGATCACAAGGCGGAGTGGCGGCCTTGTCGTGCGAGCTGACTGTGGCCGGCCGCTGGTTGGGCTTCCAGGGGCCTGGCAGTGCCGGCGAGCGGGGCGGCAACACGCAGCTCCGCCCGCCGAGGCCCGTGTTTACGTTGTCCGGTGTCGCGGCGCCAGCGAACAGGTCCGGCACACGGCGCGCTGTCCAAGCCCATAAACAAACGTGTGTAGCGTGCTCTGTTGGTAACGGAACGCGGCGACAGGCGCCGCCAGTGAAAGGGGTCCTCGTGAAGAGCCGGCCCCCGGCCTCATCCGTCAGGAGGACCTGACCTTGGATGGGATGCGGGCGGCCAGCGCTGGCCCGCCGCGGCTCGAGCAACTAGCCGCAGTTGAAGCCGAAGAAGCCGAAGAAAGAGATTGGCTCGTGGTTGGGCCGACCACTGGTGGTTCGGCCCATCAGCTCGCTGGACCCGTTGACGCTCTCCCCGCCCTCCAACGGAGTGGCGCACTGTCCCCTGGCGAATTCGGGATGTGACGCGTGACATGTCACAGGCGGCTGGGGCTCGGGCCCGAGCCCGGAGCGTCATGTCAGCACGACCGGCCTACTCCAGCGGGCTGCCCACCCCATGCTGACCCTCTGGTGACGTCGGCAGGAGGAGCGCCACCTGAAGACGGGTGACGTGACCCACGACGAGTCGAGGTCAGCGGCCGTAGCCGGCGCCAAGCTCTCCACCGACGCCTTCAGCACGGAGAAGGTGACCATGGCTGAGGACCAGCAGCGCCAGACCAAGACATCTGTGGGCGTGGTCAACAAAGAGCAGCACAGTCACGCCGCCACCCACTCCAAGGTCACCATCAGCAAGCAGCAGGTCGGTATTGTTAAAACACGGCCGGTGTTTTATTGGTGGGTGACTCACCCCATTTCCATCAGCGCAGGATATCGCTAATGCCCTTGGCTGTGGTGTGCGGCGGAATGAAGGGTCACCAGTTTCAAGTGGTGGGTCGAGGAGAGTTTTAGCAAAACTGCAATTATTGCGATTAGCCGATAGGGCTGGCTGGAGTTAGAGGTCACGGCCAGCTGCCATATGTCACGCCGTCGCTAGACGTCACTACCAGCCAGAGGACCAAGCCAATATCATATCCTGGTTGTCCTTCGCTCGTTGCCAAGGCCCTCAATTTGGCGCGTGTTTGTGATGGCCGCTGGCACCGGTCGACGCCTATGTGCCAAGCGCCGCCCCGCACTGGTGACTGCGTGGGGTCTCTGTCTGGAGAGGCAGTAGCGCCGCGCCGCACTGGTGACGGTGTGGGGTCTCTGTCTGGAGAGGCAGTAGCGCCGCGCCGCACTGGTGACGGTGTGGGGTCTCTGTCTGGAGAGGCAGTAGCGCCGCGCCGCACTGGTGACGGTGTGGGGTCTCTGTCTGGAGAGGCAGTAGCGCCGCCCCGCACTAGTGACGGCGTGGGGTCTCTGTCTGGAGAGGCAGTAGCGCCGCCGGCGCGGCAATCTCACGACCTGACCCAGCCGAACCACCCGCAGGGCGTCACCACACCGACCAGTCCGGCTGTGGCGCTGGCGGTGGAGGAGCTGGGGCGACTGCAGCGCACCACCAACCCGCTGGACGTCAGCCGAGCCGTCAACCGATGCTCGCAACAGGTGTCGCAGCTGCTGCGCGGCCTCGACCACCAGCAGCGGCCGCAGCGGGCGTCTATGCTCGACCAGATGGACATCATGATGCGCAGCGCCTGGACCGTGCCCACATACGGCCACGAGATCGGCAGCTCACTCTGCGACGTCATCAGGGACAACGGCGGCCTGGACGTGCTCATCAGCTCGTGCAACACGGGCAGTAAGGAGATGGACCTTAAAAGTGCGCGCGTGCTCGGCCAGTGTCTGACGACGACAAATCGTCATTACGTGGTGGAGCGCGGGTTGGACAACGTAGTGCAGACGGCTTGCCGCACGTGCTCTGACAATTCGGACGAGCAGGAGTCGCGCGTCGGCACCGGCCTCCTCGAGAACCTCTTCAAGCACAGCGAGGACACGTGCAGTGACGTGGTGCGCATGGGCGGACTGGACGCCCTCCTTACCCAGTGCAAAACCAAAGACGTGGAGACGCTGAGGCACTGCGCCTCAGCGCTGGCCAACCTTTCACTTTACGGCGGCCCCGACAACCAGCAGACCATGATGGAGCGCAAAGTGCCCAGTTGGCTCTTCCCGCTCGCCTTCCACAACGACGCCAACATTAAGTATTACGCGTGCTTGGCCATCGCCACTATGGTGGCCAACAAGCAGATCGAGGCAGCCGTGCTCAGGTCTGGCACGCTTGAGCTGGTCGAGCCGTTCGTGACCTCGCACGACCCGGACGAGCTGTCCAAGTCGGCCATGACGGGCCTCACCGGCCTGACTGGGCAGTCCAAGAACTGGCTGCGCCGGCTCGTACCCGTGCTCTTCTCCAAGCGCGAGGAGGCACGCAAGCTGGCCGCCTTTCACTTCTGCATGGAGGCCGGCATCAAAGTGCGCCAAGGCTGCCCGGAGGTTTTCGAGGAGATCGGCGCCATCAAGCCTCTGAAGCAGGTGGCGAGCTCGCCGAATGCGGTGGCGTCCAAGTATGCGGCGCAGGCGCTCCACCTGATCGGCCAGGAGGTGCCGCACAAGCTGAGCCAGCAGGTGCCGCTCTGGAGCGTCCGCGACGTCTGCGAGTGGGTCAAACAGGTGAGCTGGGGAGACGGGCGGGGCTGTCTCGGCCGGGCACGCCGACTTACTGGATACGTATTCGTAAGCTTTGGTGGAGTGTTCTTCCCTTGTGGTGGTGGTTTTAGATGAAGTGATTTGGTCATGCTGAGAGGACACGTGTTGTCAACCTCACTCAAATGCTCACTAAGCTCAACAATGGTGCAATAGCGTGACGCTCGGGGACGGACGCTGGTGTGAATGAAAGGGGGATTGGGTTATGTGCAGTGCCGAGGCTCCGGTGATTGGGTTATGTGCAGCGCCGAGGCTCCGGTGATTGGGTTATGTGCAGCGCCGAGGCTCCGGTGATTGGGTTATGTGCAGTGCCGAGAGTCCGGTGAATTGGATTGCCGCCGTCGTATCGGTGGATGCAAAGGACATTCACGCTGCTGTGGCGCTTATGACTTCATGCCCTTAGTGTATTCGATCGGACAAGATGTGTATGTAGCGTGCACAGGTATGTTGTAAATTACCCGCGGTGAAACATTCGCGTACTTAGTGCATACACTGCGCAACACTGTGGAATGTTAAGCAAAGCGAAACAATTTTGCAGCCGATGAACACAAGTGTGTTTGTAGGTTTCACATGTTGATTGTCCATCTAAAAGGAAAGCATTCGGATAAGGACGTCTCTACAAACCGAAGCATTGAAGGCCTTCTGCGCTGACCCAGTCTGCCTGTGTAGTTAATTCAGCAACGGCATGCGATGCAGATCGACTTCTCCTCGTTTGCGGAAGCCTTCGAGACCTCGCGTGTCGACGGAGACCTGCTCCTGCGCATATCGGAAGACATGCTGAAGGACGACATCGGCATCACCAACGGCATCCTCAGGACCCGTTTCATGCGTGAGCTCAACTGCCTGAAGAAGATGGCCGACTACGCCAGCTGCGACCCCAGCGGGCTCAACGCCTTCCTGCAGGCCATCAGCCCAGAGCTCAGTGTGTACACGTACCTGATGCTGACGTCAGGCGTCGACAAGGACTATCTCAGGTGAGTAAACATCCGCCGCGCCGCCCCAACCGATCCACCCCGGTGCCGGCTGCCGCAGTGTGTGTGTGTGTGTGTGTGTGTGTGTGTGGTGTGTGTGTGGTGTGTGTGTGTGTGTGTGTGTGTGTGTGTGTGTGTGTGTGTGTGTGTGTGTGTGTGTGTGTTGTGTGTGTGTGTGTGTGTGTGTGTGTGTGTGTGTGTGTGTGTGTGTGTGCGTGTGCGTGCGCGTGCGCGTGCGCGTGTGCGTGTGTGTGAAACCGGCCGCGCTGCCCCTACCGACCCCGCCCCGGTGCCGTGTGTGTGTGTGACCAGCCGCGCCGCCTCAACCGACCCCGCCCTGGTGCCGGCTGCCGCAGTGATCCGCCGCGCCGCCTCAACCGACCCCGCCTCGGTGCCGTGTACGTGTGTGACCCGCCGCGCCGCCTCAACCGACCCCGCCCCGGTGCCGGCTGCCGCAGTGATCCGCCGTGCCGTCTAAACCGACCCCGCCCCAGTGCAGTGTGCGTGTGTGACCCGCCGCGCCGCCTCAACCGACCCCGCCCCAGTGCCGGCTGCCGCAGTGACCCGCCGCGCCGCCTCAACCGACCCCGCCCCAGTGCCGTGTGTGTGTGACCCGCCGCGCCGCCTCAACCAACCCCGCCCCAGTGCCGTGTGTGTGTGTGTGTGACCCGCCGCGCCGCCTCAACCGACCCCGCCCCAGTGCCGTGTGTGTGTGACCCGCCGCGCCGCCTCAACCGACCCCGCCCCAGTGCCGTGTGTGTGTGTGACCCGCCGCGCCGCCTCAACCGACCCCGCCCCAGTGCCGTGTGTGTGTGTGTGGCCAGCCACGCCGCCTCAACCGACCCCGCCCCGGTGCCGGCTGCCGCAGTGATCCGCCGCGCCGCCTCAACCGACCCCGCCCCGGTGCCGTGTGTATGTGTGTGTGACGACACTTCCGGCGCCAGCCTGGGACGCGCGTGGACACACCTTATGGTATTGCCGCGGTCACCTGCCGCCTCCCCCGCCCCTCTCTCTCAGCTGCACAGTCAGGGCCTCTGAATGGTGAATGTGCATCAGGTTCGATCCGCGAAAAATTCAAGTTAAAAGCAGGTGTCTCCATGTGCCATTTGTTCCTGCCGCTCCTCTCGTCAGATTTCAGGCGGCCAAGTAAGAGTGTGATTGTGTCATGCAGACTTGCCTTCATTGCACTATTCTTTGCTGCATCGAGTTACCTTACTTACATCTCGAATCACACCTTTGATAATTTACCAAAGCCGCTTGCAAAGGCTGCATCCGGGATGTTTCTGGTTTGGGTCGCGTCCATAAGACACGCTATTGCAACACTTTTCTCCGTGTGACTCACAGAGGCCAACCAAGCCTCGAACAAGCAGCCGACAGATTCACGTTAGGGCTGTTATCAGCCGTGACCGTGCATCTGACTGTCCGTGTTGGCGCAGGTATCTGAATAACGAACAGCTGTTATACGAGTGTAATGTCACCAACTCCATACACCGACTGCAAATACAGCAAGCCATCAAAAGTGAGTCCTTTGACTATTGGTCCATGTTGTGTATCATGTGTTAAATGATATATTTTTTAACTCTGACTGAATAGTGTTGACGTTGTTATTATCCTGAAATCGGAGAGAGCATTTTGATATTCAGTTGCCTGAACCTGCATGAGCCATTAACGGAAGCTGTGTCCAGGCCTGGGGGATCGCATCGGGGCTCGGCCAGGCCGGTACCATGACGAGCAGGACGCGTCGTGGTGCCGGCCGCCGCTCAGTCGCCTCAGCCACACGCGTCCGCCTGCCGCAGACGAGTCGGCGCCGCCGGAGCCGGAGGACGACCTCAGCAAGACGCTCGACTGTTTCATCTCGTACCGGCGCTCCAACGGCTCTCAGCTGGCGTCGCTGCTCAAGGTGCACCTGGAGCTGCGCGGCTTCTCCGTCTTCATCGACGTCGAGCGGCTGGAGGCGGGCAAGTTCGACAACAACCTGCTCAACTCGATCCGACAGGCGAAGAACTTCATCCTGGTGCTGACACCGTCGGCGCTCGACCGGTGCATCGAGGACGTCGACCAGAAGGACTGGATACACAAGGTGCGGCCGGCTACGGTCGACGCACAGGTCGAAGCGCAGATCGACGCGCAGGTCGACGCGCAGGTCGACGCGCAGGTTGACGCGAGGCCACTCGGGAGAGACGGCGGACACGCGGGATGTGACGTGTTGTGCATTGGTGTGCTTGATTAGAAGCTGTTACTTTTGTATGGTGTTTGAGATATTTTGGAACTCTCTAGTAGGCAGAACAACGTTCGGACAGTTTTTACCAAACTTGATGGATGCCGTGCAGAAAAAGGGATCTGCGTACTCCTCACAACTAAATCAACTGAATGCAGTGCGCATACACACCATGTCAAATGTCATGGGCATGAGGACGAGGCTTCGAAGTGCCAAAAGGCCACCCATAATGCCAGATTAACGGTGAAAATGTAGATTGTGTCCGAATGCAAATTGGTCATCTGGCGCACTATAAGGAAAATCCATTATCTGTATGCTACTGTCACGCGAAGTGTGCAATCAAGGTTTCTCGAGCGCTACGCAAGGCAGTAGACATACTCCTTTTAGAGCTAGACCGTGTGCGGTGTCCATGCTTTGGTACAGCACACGTGCTCCACAGAAAGGAGAACGCAGCTTGGCTGGTGCAGCACACTTGCCCCAGAGATAGGAGAACGCAGCTTGGCAACTGCGACATTGGCCAAAGCAACGTCCGCCGAATCTGTGCGAAGCAATGCTGACGTGAGGGGTACTGGCTTAAGTTGCTGGCCCCAGCAGCTACGCCACACCAACTTGTTTTCCGCATTCTCCATCTGCGCTGATGCATGCTTATTCATTCTTAAACGCGACTCTAGGCCCGAGCTGTGCGTGACAGTGTGACCTCTGCCATCATGTGACCTGACATGTGACGCCATCTTATTCTAGGAGGTGTACGCCGCCCTGCAGTCCAAGTGCAATATCATTCCAGTCATCGACAACTTCCAATGGCCGGAGGCGGAGGAACTGCCGGAGGACATGCGGGCCATCTGTACCTTCAACGGCATCAGGTGGGGAAGCAGCACCGGCGTCCGATCCGGCGGGCTGGAGAGGATGCACTGCTTTTTTCGTCGTTGTTGTTGATTGGGGTTTACAGCGCATTAAATACTCGGTTATCCAGCGCCCCCCGTTCGGCGTTTTCAGGCAAGGCCGAAGTGTGTTGCTTGACTGTGAGCACTGCCGCGGTGCTCGGCACGTCAGGACGTCCGGTCTGTGGTAGGCGGTGTCAGTGTTGATCGGTGTCACGCCGGCGGCTGGCGGCGGTGTCAGTGTTGATCGGTGTCACGCCGGCGGCTGGCGGCGGTGTCGGTGTTGATCGGTGTCACGCCGGCGGCCCCGTCGCGCCTTCCCAGGTTGGGCGCTGAGTGGCCTGCTGTTGGCCATCGGACAAACACTTTGTCCAATGGCGCCGGGGCAGATCAACATGTGGGACCAATACTGCAACAGCTCTGGGTCGACCGAATAAACAAACAAACAAAATCCAACACCAATGTGGTGGACACTGAACGATTGGGAGGACCCCGGCGGGCTTATATGGATGGTCCTCGCATGGGGTGAAGCAAACGGGAATGCCCCACGATCGATCTTGAGGGCCGCAATAAGATGGGACAGTGCCTTGCAAGTGAACGTTTTGCCCCCCCCCCCCTCCCGGGCGGCGCCTCTTGGAAAGCATGAAAGGCTCTCGACTTCTGCAACCACGACCCTCTCAATCAGCTTCTGTTTTTGTTTGTTCATGGACCTTTCACCTTTTGTTATGTTTCCCCCCTGTTTTCTGTGAGTCCCAATTTTATCTCAATTAGTTAATAAAGAAAGATAATGTTCTTTGTTTGTCTCCCCATATGCATTAGCATATATATATATATATATATATATATATATATATATATATATATATATATATTACACCACTGTTGAATTATAAAAGTGACTGTATGCACTTTGTGGTAAAAAAAAACCTGTGCCAGTACCGCCTGTCTTAGTCTGCTGGGAAGCATTTGGATCGCAGCCCGTCGTAGTGCTCGTCTACGTTTCCAGCGGTATCTATCCGCTCTCATTTAACTCTTATTTCTCCGCGCTTCCGCTAGCTGGATCCACGACTACCAGGACGCGTGCGTGGACAAGTTGGAGCGGTTCATCCGCGGCGAGGTGGAGCGCCCCGACGGCCGGTACGTGGGCCAGGTGGCGGGCCCGGCCACGCCGTCCACCCGCCCCCTGGCGCACGCCTTCCAGCGCACGCAGAGCTCCGAGTCGGCGCGAGACGTGTAACAGGTATGCCGCGTGCATGCCACCGGCTTGGGGTGGACGGTGTGGCCCGGCAAGGCTCTTGTTGGCGTCTGACGCTCCGCACTCGTCACGGTTTGTTCTTGGAAGCACTCGCCGGCATGCGGCTCTAGGTGGTTTGTTTTTGTTTTGTTTTTCGTTTTGTTGGCCACGTGCGTTAGTGAATGGCCAAGCATCCGCGGGGGGTCACGCCGCCCTCGAGGATGCTTTGGAGACGAACCACTTGCATGCGGCAGGAGTTTCGTGTTTTTCGCCGTGTTCGCACGAACGTGCATAGAGCACGCGCGCCGTCTGCCCGGCGGCTAACGCGCCTGACCGTATCCATCCATGCTGTACAGACTGGCGGACTAACAGGGGCGCTGATGCCGCGGAGAGCGGCAGCACGTAGCGCTGGTGTGGAGCCGGCTCGCGGCCGTGACCTGTTGGGCGTCGCGCTCAGGCCGACGCCGCTGCTCGGGCCGTGACCTGCTGGCCCTGACGCACGCGGGGCCGCATGGGCACGGGCGGTGCGACGCCTTGCATCACGTGGTGGTCTGGGCGACGGCTGGATGTTGCCGAGAGTAACAACACAGCAACACTTTCCGGCATGTTGGGTGCGGTAGGCTTGGCTAATGGAAGATGTGTAGGACGGCCGCGGTTCATGGAAACTGACCTGATCTGAGTCGTGGTGGAATGAGTATAGTGGCTCGTTGTTCCTTCTGCTGAATGTACTACATCCAATGAGACGCTGCATTAATGCTGGGATGGTGGTGGCGCTAATGACTCCGCGTTAGCTGTGGTGGCGGAACTCAATACCACTTCTGGTTGGTCCTCGACGGCCCTGCCGCCCGACTGTCGCTGCCGCCGTCGGCTGACTGCTGTGTCGCCCAGACGCGAGCGGCGTGTGGCTGATGCCGCGTCCGCTCGGCAGGTCCGTGCACCCGGGTCGATTCAGCCCGCTGGCCGGCGGCCGCTGCCAGACGCCTGCCTCGCGCGGCCAGAGCCCGTGTCGGTTGGCGCCGGCCAGCACCGCTTCGCCGCGCGTGCTGCGGCCGCGCCGCTACCAGCAGCGGCTGTGCCCAGACGGCTCCATGGCACGCAGCCGCAGCATGGACGCCATCCTGGATGGCGGCACGGGCCGGCGGCGGGCCGCGGGGGGCTCGCGACGTATCGGAGAGTCGTCAGGGGAGTCGCCAGGGGAGTCCCATCGCCGGCCATGCAAAAGAGCTTGTGTTGGAGACAGAGCAGCGTGTCGTGCCTGATGCTGAAGACGGCCCGCCTTCTGAAGAGAGGACGTCGGACGAGACGGATCAGAGTGTCGATGGGCAGCGGGACTCGCCGCGACTCGGTCTGCCTGAGGCGGTCGAGTCGAAGGAGGCCGCTCGTCCAGCGGGGCTCTCGCGGCAGCCGACGGAACTAGCGGCCAGGAGGCACAGCAAGCCGCTTCCGACGCTGGTGCTGAGTGCACCATCCTTTGAGGCTCCGCAATCGCTGTCACCGGGCTCGGAGCGAGAGCCATCTGTTGACAGCAGAACAAGTAAACGTTCCAACTTGACCCGCCAGAGCCGGCTGCGCAAGTCCAACTTGGTGGGACGTGCACTCACTAAGGTTCGGTCCGCCATTACCAAAGAGAACAAGTAATTAGCTCACGGATGATTACACCGCAAGATGAACGCATGATGACTACCACGTATTCTGATCCCCAACTTATATGTTTTGTTTTGTGTACTCAGTACGTCAAAGGCAAGTGTGAAGCAATCACGCTCATGAATGCTCGTCGTGGCAAGGGCTTGCATGTACACTGCTAAATAATGGACTGGATTCGATGAAATTATTTTTACTCGAATGCTTACTGTGCAAAACGTTTACTACAGAGGCATGTTCTGCATGTGATTGAGTGGTATGTTGCCGTGAAACAAAACCTGTTCGCAACATGACTGCAGCTCGCGGTGCGACACACTTGGCCGATGGCTGCAGCTCGCGGTGCGACACACTTGGCCGATGGCTGCAGCTCGTGATGCGACACACTTGGCCGATGACCCGTGAATGCACTCCTGTTTCAGCTATTCTCACCCATGTTTGTTTATGTGACACTGCTCCGTATAGTTTTATCACATGACCTGTCATCATCATCATCAGTCGGTCTCTTATCATTACGTGATTAATATTGCCATGTACGAATAAATTGTGAAAAGCCCCATGGCTTCGTGTACGTTGTGTCCTTTCCTTTCTTCAACAACGGCGCCATCATTTACACTGAAAATGGCCTCTTCGTGCACGGTTCTGGCAGCACGCCTAGTAAAGCTTGATCTCCAATGCCTTTTTCAGGTAACGCAGGTTCATTAGATTTTGTCCATAATAGCACTACAGGTATGTATGCCAGCTGGTTCAACAATTGTATATTTTTGAATTTGTGACGGGCGTTATGACAGGTCATATTTTTGACGCTCTGGCGGGCCATGAATTTGATGAGTCGACTGAAAAACATATATTTCAGTCGAAGCGTGTTGTAATAGCTAGATTGCCAACCTTGTGTAAACTAGTGCGGTACAATCATAAATTTGTCTGCGACGTCGCCTATGCAAAATGCACGTGCACCATCCGAGGTCGGCAGGTCAGGTAAGTTCTATGCGTTAGGTATATTACCTTACTGCTACCATGGTAAACACTAGAAGTGCACATATCTGCAAACACAAAAATTCCTGAGATGGATGTAACTCGGGTGTACAAAGCGGATGTAATTCTGGAAGGAGCTGAGCCGCCAAGTAATGCACCGTACAAAATAATGCAATACAATACTGGGCAACATGTTCACAAAAATGATATTAGCATAATCCTAATAACAAGACGTATGCACAAAAACTGATATGAATCAATTAGACGAATAAGGATATGCATGTAATACAGCCCTGTCCTGCAAACGTGGTTATTATGTCTGTTTTGCGCGACATTTTCCAAGTTTCATGCGTAATGCATGCTAATGCAAAGGTGATCCAATCAGCGGTGGTGTGGAAATTATAACTATAAGAATGTTTTGAATTCCGTCGTCACAACCGACATCCACGAAGCTTTGTGATATTTTAAAGGAAAGCCGACATGGACGGTGGTTTAGATATCTTTAGTGGCATAGACTCTCCAATACGTCTTTCGTCCCCTCATTGCTAGCCCAAATTACAAACAAGGCCCTCAAAAAGGCTAGAAATAGCGTCAAAATCGCCTTAAAGTCGTGGGTGGCAAAAGCAGCTACGGGGCTTCATAAATATCTGTATATTTATCCGGGCCTCTTCTCATATTTGTAACCCTCTTCCAAAAAACAGTATTTGCTTGCGCAAGACAATCACGTAGGGCTGGTCCCAAATACAAAATGAAATCCTAATGTATTTTGGTTGCTGTAGATTGTTATGAGCAACATTTCAATATTTGAACACTTTCCATGCTTACTTCAATTTTGTTCATGGATCGTTTTCTTTTGGAAAAGTGAGATTTTGATAGTTTTGATGAACTTTTGAGAGAGAGAGAGAGAGGAGAGAGAGAGAGAGAGAGAGAGAGAGAGAGAGAGAGAGAGAGAGAGAGAGAGAGAGAGAGAGAGAGAGAGAGAGAGAGAGAGAGAGAGAGAGAGAGAGAGAGAGAGAGAGAGAGAGAGAGAGAGAGAGAGAGAGAGAGAGAGAGAGAGAGAGAGGAGAGAGAGAGAGAGAGAGAGAGAGAGAGAGAGAGAGAGAGAGAGAGAGAGAGAGAGAGAGAGAGAGATGAGAAGAGAGAGAGAGAGAGAGAGAGAGAGAGAGAGAGAGAGAGAGAAGAGAGAGAAGGGAGAGAGAGAGAGAGAGAGAGAGAGAGAGAGAGGAGAGAGAGAGAGAGAGAGAGAGAGAGAGAGAGAGAGAGAGAGAGAGAGAGAGAGAGAGAGAGAGAGAGAGAGAGAGAGAGAGAGAGAGAGAGAGAGAGAGAGAGAGAGAGAGAGAGAGAGAAGAGAGAGAGAGACGAGAGAGAGAGAGAGAGAGAGAGAGAGAGAGAGAGAGAGAGAGAGAGAGGAGAGAGAGAGAGAGAGAGAGAGAGAGAGAGAGAGCAGACCTGTTGGTTGCGTTCGGTGAGTAGTTTTATTTGTATGTAAAAATCCAGCCAAACACGGGGCAAAGCCGGTCCATGCTTCGGCGACCGAACGTCAGTGCGACCGACCGGAATCGTTAAAACCAGACCATACAAGACCAACTCTGTTAGAACCAGGCAAGAGCGGGAACTCGCACTGGCACAAGGTTTTGAAGATAAGTGCGGCCTATCACACGTATTTACATAGAAGCGGTTACCTACTTTTGACAAAAAAAGACATAAAAGCAACAGATGTGACGAACTTATTTTTATAGTCAACGATTTTTGGTGCTCGAGGGTTGTTCGTTATGCGCGTTTTGCCGTCACTGCTAGTAATTTCTTTCAGCAAAAACAATTTTGACTTCCGCTCAGTTCGTGATAGATTCGACTGTCATTGACTTCGAGAGCTTTCACAATGTGATTCCTGACGCGCATCAAGCAGTGGCTCCTTCCCTGAAGAACTTACTCTGAATCGAACATACAGCCAACGTGCGCGGTCCCGGTATAAATTTTATGAGTTAGCGCACGAGTTGTCTTTCTGTAGTGCCTTTTTGTCGTCACTGGTGGCAGTTGCTGCCAAAAAATGGTCCTGGTTTCCAGGAAGTTAACCAAAGATTCGACTGGCATCACCTTCGGGAGCTTTCACAGAACAATCCCGATTGCGCGTCCAGCAGCTGAGGAGCAGGAGTTTTCTTCTTCCCGGAACTACCGTGAATAAACCTTACAACCAGCGTGGGCGGTCCGGTGCTCGTATCGCTTGCGATGATAACACTTAAATCCGGCGCTCTTCTGCCACCTCCCCCTTTCACGTCCTTTGCAAGTGCCAGTGAGGGGGAGGGTGTATGGCACAGCCGTCGCTCAGCCGTAGGGAGGGGCTGGGGACGGTATGTGGCGCCGAGGACATTTCCGTCGCCGCTGGCTCGCCACATCGTGTCGGTAGTTGATGCTCTGCAACTGGGGATACAACCCTCTGCGACGGGGAATTATCACAACCCTCTGCGACGGGGAATTATCACAACCCTCTGCGACGCGCAGTGAACTCGATCGATGGAGCTCGAGTGGCTGCTCGCCGCTATGAAAGGCTACCTTGCTTTTGTGTAATTCAATCTACCTTCCTTTTTCAACTTGTTTGCTTTGTGATGTTTGTAATCCACTAATGCGTCGAAATGTTTGTGCAATAAATGCTGCGCCGGATGCTTGAAACAGTCTATTAAGGCAAAAATAGATGCAAACGTCAAGCTCTTATGCCGCGAATTCCACGAAATGTTGCACTACGGCTTTAATTTTTATCCTCTGGCGTTCAACACAGTGGCTTTTTTCACAGAGGCGCACTTTGGCTTTGGGAATGGAGGTGTCGCATGATCCATGTGGCGCACTGGCTCAAACTTTAACCAATGCGATTCCCGGTAACAGGCCATTGTCCGCGTGCCAATTACAAACGTTCTTTTATTCGCACCAGTAGGGGTGCGCACGGGGTAATCATGACGACGGTGGTCTGAACCGCAGGGAAGAAGCGTAGTGCTGCTACAAAACGTTGAGAGTGTAATTTTGGCTGCAAAAATTGAAATATTTATTCCTCTTATGTCCTGACAATGCTACAGTGGCACAACCCTGTGTTTTTGTTAAACGTAGGGGAAGGTTTGTTCCTCGGAGAAAAAAAAGCAGGAGATATATCCATTCCCCTGGTTTTTCTTTTGAGGAGTGGGTCCATTACTACTGTCTTAGCTATGTGAATGTTTTTTCTCGCAAACGCACTTAACTTACGTAACTAGAGTAGCGTAAGCTGTTTCAGGGCGTAGCGACCCTGCAGGTACGTGAGCTTGCTCCTTGTCCCGCCCGCTCCCTTTTCATTACCCGCTTTCCCGCATCCGGCCCACTTATCACTCCTAATCCTCGTTTTATCGGGGTTACTGTGCCCCCTCGCCCGCGTGCCCGGGTTAATCGGATCCTGATGGCTGAGGGGCGCGTCGCGCGAGTCAGTCACGGGGCTTCCCAGCACTCCACTTTGTCCAAGGTATCCAGGGGCACGGGGGGGGGGGGACCGTGGGGCCCCATACGAGTCTAGCGGCTCGTCGCTCGCGCTGCGGTTGGGTGCTCCGTGCGGGTCTCTGCTTGGGGTGCCTGGTCGTGCTCAGCGGCTTAAGGGGTCAAGGGGCGGTGAAGCTGAGCCACGGTCAGAACGGGGAGAGGCCTCCCCGGTTATACCTGGCCGTGTGGGAGGCGTCGTTCGCCCTATGTAGCACCGGGGTAGCCCTGGCGGCGACCACCTCCCAAGAGAGTGTTGGACCGTCCCCCAGTTGGGCTCCGTGGTGGATGGGGAGCCCCGGCGCCGAAACTTCACTGAAATTTGCATGGCATCTTATAACCAAACAACCACCCCACCCCCTAAAGGGGGAAGAGACCACGTTGATAACAGAAAGCAGCGGAGAATCTTCACAATCTCCCCGAGTTTTGGTCCTCCAAAGTGATAAGATGAGGCTCTCGTCTCTCTCGCCGTTCCAGCGGAAGAAAGGCTGTGATCGATTCTGAATTTTCGTTCAGTACGACAAATTGCGCGATGGAGGGTTAGAGGCCGAGATCGTCAACGGGGCAGAGGCTGATCATGCGAGGGCTGCAGCCGAATTCACGTACTGCGTTCGGGACAAGGATGGTAAATGAGACGTTTCTGTGCCTATCCGAGTAACACCACACCTGACAAAAAATGCATCCAGGGGAATAATCAACTGCTTCGACTTGCGTGACGTTAGTGAAGAGAAGAGATCGCTGACGAGTTGTCTGTGTTCGGCGTCACTGCTGCACGTAGGATCTCCATTAGAAAAGGAAGTGAACAGCTGCCGACAAATAACATCATCTTGACTTTCAATGGCCCGAATCTGCCTTCTGAAATACGCGTTGGATACGCACGTGTCAAGGTGCGCCTTTTCATACCGAACCCCATGCGATGCTTCCACTGCCAGCGATTTGGCCATACCAAATAGCACTGCCGCATCAAGTCTGCTTGTGGGAAATGCGCCTCTCCAGAGAACAGAACGGAATTTTGCGATTCAGAGAGCCTATTGCGTGAACTGTAACAAAGACAAGGCTTCGCACACGACTTGCGACCGCACATGCCCGGCTTACGTTAAGGAAACA